GGGGGGTATTGGGTAAAGATAAGAGCAAATAATAAAGGGGGGGAGGGAACAGGGTAAAGAGTCAGATAAGATAACCAACACTGTAGAAAGGAAAGAGTTGGAGAACACATAAGTCAAGAAAATAGGTGGTAACATTTGTATAAATGTCCGTGCATTTGAACAGATGTCACCTCGTCCCAGGTCTTGAGGTAACGGTCATAGTGTCATTGTTGGCGTGAATAAGTTCCTCCATGTCTGCCACATAGTTCACTTGAAGGAGCCATTCTTTAATGATTGAAGGATGGCACGATTTCCAGTGCCTAGGCAGTACAGTTTTGGCGGCATTAAGAAGGTGAAGTACTAACGAGCATTTAGAGATGCGCAATGAAAAAACAAAATGGCACAGCAGGAACGAGCTGGGTAAAATCTAAAGAAATATTTCTAATACGTCTAATGCGTGTAAAAAAGTCACACATTTCCATCCATAAAGGTATAATAAGTGGACAAGTCCCCCACGCATGCAATGGAGTACCAGTCTCTTGAGAGCATCTCCAACAAGTTGCAGGTGCATTCGGCTATATGCGATGAAGAGAAACTAAGGTTGTATACCATAGGGAGTGTCATTTATAGTTATTTTCCTGAACCTGAACATTGAGAGAACTGGTAATAGAACATTCATTCATTCCCGTTCCTCAGGGGTGAAGGTAGAACCCAGATCAGCTTCCCAAGCTCGTATAGAAGGTAAGTTTGTGACATCAAAGTTATCAAAAAGGGAAGAATAAATGGAGGAAATCATGTGTGATACTCGAGTTGAGGAGGTACAAAGTCTGACCAAACATTTAAGAGCGCGACCAAAAGATGGTCAGCGTTCGAGTTGATGAAATGGCGAATCTGGAGGTAAGCCCAGAAAGGCAGGGGTTTAGTAGGAGCTCCAGAATTCAGGTCCTGGAGTGTCTGGAAGGAGCCATCCCTGCGAAAGAACAGACGCGTAGTCAAGTTAGGGGTTGTTTTCCAATCACATGTATTGCCTTTTTAAGTTGAAATTGTTTCATTATTTGAGATTGTATGATCATGTTTTAGCCCATGTAAGGAATCATAGAACAATATGTGAAGTTGAGTACCTCATGGTAGCACTTCAAAATTCATTTTAACTGGTCTTAACACAGTAAAATGAAATCTGGTTACCACGCTGGGACAAGTATACAGTGCCCACAATACAGTCATTGATTACAGTGTATTTAAAGTCTTTTCTTTAGTTTTGTATAGAGTGGTGGGAGGGTTAGAACTCTTGTCAAGTTTCCCCAATAGGTAGCTTCTTTCAGTTTATTTGCACTGGTGATGTCACTAGGACTGAAAGTAAAATCCAGTGAAAAGCCCATGCAAAATTGTATTTGTCACCAGAAATAAAAGAGGGAAAGTCTTCCGATGGGGACGCTTGTTCTGTAGACAGCTGTCTAAGAGAGGATTTTCCTCACTTTGGGGACATCTACCACTTCCCGTTGTGTCCACAGCTCAGAAAGTGGAGGGAGACCTCCCCAATGGGACACAGATGGCTGAATAAATATTGTCAGGCAGTTTAACCATTCCCCACTGCATCCAGAATGGAGAAAATTGCTTTGTATGCTGGGGTTTTCAAGTGTTATAAAAGACAGATCTTATTTACTTATGAGCAGCAATGGCACTTTTATTCCTTCCAGTTAATCAAATAGAAGAAGTGACTGAAATTATTCTCCACACATGCCACTTTCAGTACTTTAAATACAGATTCCCTGCTTGCCTTTAGTATAAGGAGAATCAGGTGCTGACGGGGTCTCTTTAAATCAGCAAGTATGAATTCTGGTGATGAAAGTTTGGTATGATGTCACAATTAAAACCTTTAGTGAGTCAGCCGGATTTAGTAATATACCCTGTCAGCACCTGGTTCTCCTTATACTAAAGGCAAGCAGGGAATCTGTATTTTAAGTACTTACAAACCCTGCCTGCGGCAGTGAAGAGCCCCAGATCAGCAGAGGTATCTGTATTTCAATTCTTCAGCAAAATTAACACTTCCAGGAGAGAGCCCTCCGGCAGCACCACCTCTTCTTGACCATTATGTCATCACAGCATTTCAACAGCATGAATAAAAGCCTTATATGATCAGCGCTGAATGCTGCTGCATAGTAAATCCTGACATTGTGCTTTATACGCCACAGTTTTTAGTGCTAATCATATGAGAGTTTACTTCATACTGTTGGAAGAGGTGGTACTGCTGGTGGCCCACCAGCCTTTCTTACCGTCACTCCTGGAATGATTAGGTGTTTTGCTGTAGAATTCCAATAAATATTTATCTGCTGATTAGGGGAACTTTGCTGCAGCAGGCAGGGTTTATGTAAGTACTCTTAATACTAATTTTCTATCTGCCTGAGTGCCAGGTGGTGACAGGGTCTCTTTAAGTGTGACACTCCAGGACCTTGAAATGCTTCTTACGAAGCCATTCCTTCGTTGCCCGGGCAGTATGTTTGGGATCATTGTCATGGTGAAAGACCCAGCCACGTTTCATCTTCAATGCCCTTGCTGATGGAAGGAGGTTTGCACTCAAAATCTCACGATACATTGCCCCATTCATTCTGTCCTGTACATGGATCAGTCGTCCTGGTCCCTTTGCAGAGAAACAGCCCCAAAGCATGATGTTGCCACCCCCATGCTTCACAGTAGGTAAGGTGTTCTTTGGATGCAACTCGGCATTCTCTCTCCTCCAAACACGACGAGTTGTGTTTCTACCAAATAGTTCTATTTTGGTTTCATCTGACCATAAGACATTCTCCCAATCCTCTTCTATATATATACATTTTTAATTATTTTTTTTTTACATTATGTATTGACATATTTGCTCGATACATATAACTGCGCTGCTTACGGCATTGCAGGTGCAACACAATGGCTGTGCTTCCCTCTCATGGTTCGAATAAGTTGGCCAGCTTATTGAAACCCGTGTACTCCATATGTAGCTGTAACATGCACACAGGCATTTTTTTTTCTAGACCAATCAACGCACATGCTCACCCCACATTTAATCGCTAACAGTCAATTGCTAAACAGATTGAACAGTAGAGTGTAGCATTTGGTAGTAATTGATCACTAGTGTTAGTACAGTGATCCAAATTTGTGTTACTACATGCAGCTACATGTCTCACAATTGCTAGCGATTAATCACATACAATTTTAGTAGCACAATCGTTCTAGCAATGATTGTAGTTGCTAATCTATCAATTTCTTTATTTAATACCATAAAAAATGTATTAGATACACTTTATTTTTAAGTGGAAATAGACAGAACAGTTGATGATGACAGAAATGACAAGCACTTTCA